CATCGTGGAGCCACCCCCCCCCCCCAGTGCTTCCCCCCGTTGCGGGGTGGGTAGGAGGCGCGTATCTAGGGCTCTGGGGGGCCTTGGAGACTAGGGGGCGGGGTGGGGTATTCCTCCCCCCCCCCCCCCAGGCTGTGGGGCTCGGGAGGAGCTGTAGCTGCACCGGGGCTCGGGAGGAGCGGAGAACTCGGGCTAGGGGCACGGACAGGGCTAGGGGGAGAAAATGCGGGGAGCGTGACGGGGGATGTGGTGGGGGGCTGATATTTTGGGCCCCCTCCCCTTCAGCAGTGTCTTGGGGTAAGGAGGGGAAACCACCAGGCAAACCCAGCATCCGTGGTCTGGGGTGTGCCAGTGGGGAAACTAAAGCTGTCATGGTGCTAGAAAGTAGCAAATGGGCGTGTGCGGGAGCGATGGGGGAGGGAGGGGAGGAAAAGGGGGATGGGAAGGGGGATGTACAGTATTTTGAAGTTGTCCTGGACTCTAGCAAGGAGCTGAGCATTCTCCCCATAGACAACTCCTATTCTAAGGGGTATTTTGGCCTTTTTTTGCAGGTTTCTGGGGTGGCTTGTGTGCCACCCCATTCTTCTTTGAGGGGGTTGGCTGTAAGGATCATGTGAAAGACACGTCTGTTGGTTTGGGGATGAGGGTGTTTGGGGGGGTGCAGCACCTTTTGGCTCTTGCACAACAGCAGTGCGGGGAAGGGGATGGGTGACAGTCAAAGCGGATTAAATGAAGGCTCGTCATTTCTGAAATATTTTGTGCATTTGTTCAGATTTTTAAGAAGTTGATTTGAGAAGTAAGGAAGCAGGGTTTTTCCTTCTGGCGTCCCTGTGAGGGAGGAATTGGATCTATATGGAGTGACTTTGTCTTGGCTCTGCAAACATGGCTGAAGGGGAGGGAATGGGGGTTGTTGGTGGGGTGAAGCGCTGCACAAATGGGGCTTTTGGTGGTCACACAGCAACAGGGAGGTGCTGAAACCTCTATTGCAGGGACATCGGGCTGGGGGAGGGGAAGACACTTCGTTTTGTTGCCTTTTAAGTGACAGCTCTTTGTTTGTTTGCATCTTCTAATCAGTTGCATTATTACACCAGCACCATTGAATTAGGTTACGCACATTAATTTTTTACATGTAAAATGTCTAAGAGGAAAAACAAGTAATATATTAATGCGGTTTCTTGGTTAAAGGAAATGAAGATGGTAATGTGGTATCAAGTAGCTTTCAGTGTAATTTGAGCTGAAAAGATGGCTCAGTCATTATGCATTTTGTTTGGAAAAACAGCCAACAGTCTGAGTAAAAGATGTGTATGTTGCTTACTGCTGTTCTGAAGTGTGTGGGGAGATTTTGATTTTGAAGTCACTGCTTTTTTCCCTCTGTCAGCAGCTGAATTGTTGCCCTAAATTTCATAGGTTTCTGTCCTAGAAACGTGGACTAGAAGCAGCAGCAGATTGTGAATAATTCTAAAGCTGGGGGTGTGTGTAAGTGGCAACCCAGGAGTTCCAGTTGGAACTAAGGGGGTTATAGCCAATAGAATATGACATTTAGTTATGTAGAAGCAGTGGCTGAGAGGCAATTTTCTTCCAGTGTAGGCTGCTAGACGCACTAAAACCCCTGGTTTCTTAGGTGCATGTTGACCTTTCAATAGCTGAGAATTGGGTTGCCATTATGTTGTTGTTGTATGTTTGACATTTTCATGATTGTGTTGTATTATGCTACAATGCAACAAGGGGGTGGTTTGTGACCTAAAGTGCTAGAGAGTTGGTATGTAAAAGTTTACTCAACATATAGTGGATGTTAACTCTACAGACCCAGATCTGGCATAACCAAAAAGGGAGACATAGCAAAGAGCATAATAGAGCTGAAAACTCATAATAATGTAGGTGTTTAGCGTGCACTGTTCTTAAAATCTTGGTCTTAAGGTCTTGCATTCCTTATGTTAATAGTTTACACTTGTATACATGACCTGGCTTATGTGGGGTTGCAGGAAATGTGAATCTCAAAAGCGGTACACCTGATGAAGTACGGTTGAGAAGTGTGTTAGTGGATTTAAACAGAAAATGAGGTTTACTGTTTACTTTTCCAGGTGTACTATCCAATTCCAATTCAGAGGCTGTAGTATTTTCAGCTTGCCACAATCTTATGGGAAGGTTTAAATGTTCTAAAATGTTAAGTTACTTGGTGCCTATGACAGCTCTTTATATAGCGGAAACAGCGAAAACCATTACCTACAGCTGCTCCAGTTTGTTTAGGCCTCTTGTACAGCAACAGGGAGAGAAACAGGAAAAGGTGATTGTAAATTGACAAATTTGCGGAGGGTCGCAGGAACTGATATAGTATCTGAAACAACATTTAACTGAGTTTTTGGAAATGATTGGAGTTCAAGTTGTCCTTTTTAAAAGCAAACACCTATTGATGCTAGACAACAGTAGTAACTTCAGCAATATTATACCTGTCTCAGAGCCTGTGGGCATGATTGAAATGATATGATCTTACCTGGACCCGTTTACTCAAGTTAAGTATTTATTGTCTAGAAATATGCTGCTAAACAACATGACAGCAGCATGATCCTTGCTTTCAAAACAAATGCACTTCACAAGAAACCGCGTGGGGTTCGAGTATTAATAATTAAGACCTTTATTTCTTAGTCATTACAGTTTGATTTAGAGTTGGTGTTGGTTTTTCCCCATAACTTGCCCTCTGCTGTGAACACTGTAAGAGAAAAATTCACAACTGTATGACTAATTCACGTAATTAGTCATGCAACTTCCATTGTAGAATTATTGGCATAGTAATACTATACTATCATTTTATGTTCTAATATTGTCTTGTTTTAGAAACATATGTGCCCATTGCTGAGACTGCAGTCTCTTAACGTCCTTTTTATGTCGTACATCTATAAACGTTTGAAACCTTTAGGATCATTAGATTTCCTTAACTTTATAAACATTTTTATAATGAGCAGATTTGCTGGAGATCAACACCTTGTTGACTAGTAATCCAAGAGTGTCAATTTGCATGTGACATATGAGGACTGTCAAAAGTTAAGGTTTCAGAGTAGTAGTATGCATCCGAAGAAGTGGGCTGTAGTCCACGAAAGCTTATGCTCTAATAAATTTGTTAGTCTCTAAGGTGCCACAAGTACTCCTGTTCTTCTTTTTAAAAGTTAAGGTGTGAGCGTTGTTACTAAAAATATCCTGTCTCTTGCATAAGCAATTTGCCAGTTGAAGAAAATTAATTTATTTTTTGTATAAGCGAACTACTTATATTGCAAGTTTTGCTTGGTTCCTCATTTCCTTGAAGCAGTGATGCTTATTTCTTTTATCAAAGGGAGGGAATACAAAGTAGTTTTTAAAGTTAGATTGAAATCTGTTTTTAAAGGAGAATCAGGGAAAGCTCAGAGAAACAGGTAAACATTAAATCAAGCCTGCTCAAAAGGGCAAATGCAGCCCAGAGTCTACTACCTCCTGTAGCTACTGCTGCCATATAACAAAGGCTAATTGTTGACAAATTCAATCAAGCATTTTTTACTGGTTTATTTAGAAACTAGTTCAAACAGACAATTGTAGGTAAACATAATACTTAAGGCCTGGTCTAAACGGTTAAAATGGTACAAGAATAGTGCCAAACAAAGTTGCATCTGTTTAAACCTGGGTCTTAAGCAGATTCAAGAGTAGTGCCATGCAAAGTTGCATCAGTTTTAACATAACATCCCTCGTTATATAGGCATACCTTCTGTGTAGACAAGCTTTAAAGTGCTTTGAGGGCTCTGGGGGCTGCCCTAAACACACAAATGCATCGGTTTAACTAAAAATTTGATTTAAAAAAAAACAGATTTAGTTAAGACAAGACATCTTGCTTGGTGTGTGGACACTTTAAATCCATTTAAACTTGCTTATTGATTTAGCTTGCCCCTTTAAACTAATAGGAGCAAGGTAAACTGACAGCCAGTTTTAAATTAATGTATGTTCACACAGGGATTTGCCTTGGTTTAACTAAAGCCGTACAAGTTTGTGTGTAGACAAAGGAAAGGTGTTATAGAAATGCAAAATAGTTCAATGAATATACAAATGAGCAGTGTCACTTGAACTTTCCTGGGAAGTAAACTGTACGAGCCTCAATTGCAAAATATGGGCAGTGCCTATGATTAAGCTCAGACAACTTCTAAAATAAAACTGGGGCAGGTTCTGCCCTCAGATGTATGTGTAATTTTTCCTACGGCAGGTTCTGCCCTCAGATGTATGTGTAATTTTTCCCCAGAGGCACAAAGACATTTAAATGTTTAAAGCTCTGTTTTAAAAAGACAGATTCCAGGAGATGCAAAATCAAGGCTGACCCTCTTCTAACTTTTTGGGGAAAAC